TGAAGCTGTAAATCTTTACGGGAGCAGAAAACCTCATCTTTCTCCAGCAGAACAGCTGGTAGTTCGAACTGCAAACCCTGAAGTTAGGAGCCGGATTCATAAGACCAAATCTTCAGCAAAGCAAAAAGTTTATTAATACAGCATGGGATGCAATGGAGTTCTGGTGTGGCGCTGTTGGTTAATACGACAGACTGCAAATCCGTTTGAACTGCAAGGTCGGCGGTTCAAGCTCACCAGCTGCTCCTCAGAAACTCTATACAGGGTCGCTATGGGTGGAGATCAACAAAAACAACAAGGACATTCCCAGAAGAGTGGGCATGGCTCTACCTCACTAGTGATGACAAACACCTTAGACTCTGGGGGTTAAGCATTAAAGACAGTCTTCTCTTTCCAGTTTCGGTTGCCCCTCCCCGGGGCAAGGCTGATAGAATCTTCCAGCCATAGTCTTTTCCTTTCCATAGAGGATGCACGCCCTTGCCATCCCATAATTGCAATGATATGTATGAGTGGATACATATATAACCTGGTGTTTGTTGTTGTTGTTAAGTGCCATAGAGTGGGTTCCGACCCATAGCAACCCTGCATAGGGTTTCTGAGGAGCAGCTGGTGAGCTTGAACCGCTAACCTTGCAGTTCAAATGGCTTTGCAGTCTGGCGCATTAAACCACAGCGCCACAAGGACAGTTTGAACCACAAGGTGGAAGGTTCAAACTCACCAGCAGCTCTTCAGAACCCCTATAACAGGGTCGCTGTGAGTCAAAGCCAACTCCACTGTATTTAATGACTTTTTTTGTCAAAAGGGCACAGCACCGGTCTCCTGGCATACACACCCATGTCACAAACTGCAAGGCTTGCCTGTACTTTTGGGTTTTTCTCTTCTCATTGTTGCTCACCTACTGGCTGCCGGTTCCCTGTGGGCTGCTCTCCTGATACTTACCATATGCTCCTGCCGGTTGCCGTGCACCTGTATTTAACCTCAAATTAAACGGTTCAGACCCACCAGGCGCTACAAAAGAAACGGGTGAAGCTGTCTGTTCTGATCAAGGATTACGTTCTTGAATTTATTTGGGAGTCTTCTGGAAGGCTGTAGAATTTTGTGTGCTCCTGTTGTTTCTGTGGACACTAGATGGCAGTAGAACGCCAGGGAAAGCGCATGCCGCAATCCTCCCCCGCCCTTTGTGATAGAAAAAAAAAAGATACGAAGCCTATTCAAAAGTAAAAAGGCTACTCCGCTGAAGCTATGCCTCCTACTGCTCTGGGCAGCTTGTCGTCTCTTCCGGAATTGGCTTAGGAAACCAGACTGCCAAGAGACAAAGCCCCTTTTGCTTTTCAAATTTCTTCCTCTTAGCAACTGGTCGTTTTCTGTCTCTGAAAAGTCAGTTCTCCTCTCTCTCCAGGTTTGTCCTAGGGTTTTACAGGCCCGCATCAACATACACAAAGTACATTAAAGCAGCGCAGTGTGCTAATGTGTCAGACTGCAAAGTCATTTGAACTGCAAGGTTAGTGGTTCAAGCTCACCAGCTGCCTCTTGGAAACCCTATACAGGGTCGCTATGGGTCGGAATCCACTCCATGGAGCTTAACAACAACAAGCCTTAATTTTGGAGTCCTGGTGTGGCTCTGTAGAATGATGCGCTGAACAACAAGGTCACCGGTTCAATCTCACCAGCCACTCTTTGGAAACCCTATACAGGGTCGCTGTGAGTCAGAACTGACTCCAGGGCACTTAACAACTACAACAACAACAACAACCCTTAGTTATGGAGTCCTGATGTGGCTCTATAGGGTAAGCACTCGACCATGACTTCCTTGTGAACCTCATGGTCCCTGTGAGTCAGAACCAACTGGAGGGCACCAGCAACACTCTTAGTTACAGCCCTAAGGAGCTCTGGTAGCATAGTGGTTACGAGTCGGGCTGCGAACCTTTAAGGCCAGCAGTTCGAAACTACCAGCCGTTCCGCGGGAGAAAGATGAAGCTTTCTGCTCCCGTAAAGATTTACAGCCTCGGAAAACCCTGTACAGGGTCGCTATGGGTCGGAATCGACTCGAAGGCACTTAACAACAACAACAACAACAGCCACTTGTTACCTGGAGTCCTGGGGTGGCGCTGTGGGCTAATGTGTCTTTGAACTACAAGGTTGGCAGTTCAAGCTCA